GGTCTCTCCTGCCCGGGCTGGCTTTGAACCGCGATCCTCAGATCTCAGCCTCCTGAGTAGCTAGGATTACAGGCGTGAGCCACCAGCGCCCGGCTCTTGAGTACTTTTTAATTATCTGATTCTAGTTTAAACTTTTTATATAAGAATTAGACAATATAGGAAGTATGTTGGGACAATGTAATTTAAATAGCCTACATCTTTATTTAAAAAATACCTTTCAGTGCTTATATATTGTTGGTTATTTTTAAACTCTTGTCATAAAAAAGCAAAGATGGTATATTTAGAAAATTCTTAGGAGGTTTGTTTTGTTTTATTCAATTTAGGGCTCGTTGTCGAAATGCTGGACCTGTAGCTATAGCTGAGAAAAGCATTGTCCAGGTTGCGGAAAAATTCATATTAAGAGCATATTGTACAACTTGCAACCAAGTCTTTGTTGATGAGGCCAGCACACAAGCTCACAAGCAGAATACAGGACACAAAATCCGATTCATTAACTCAGTAGAAGAATCCATCTTACTTTATTGCCATAGCAATGAAAGGAATAATAATCCTTCTGACTTGAATTTGTTGTTAAGTCAACCAAAGTTTTCATCACTTAAGCGAACTATGTCTATTAAAGAGTCTAGCTCCCAGGATTGTAGCTCCATTCCAAAGAAGAAGATGAATTTAACAGATAAAAGCCATGAAGGTGTGGTTTCTGTTCAGAATCCAGTGTCAAGAGTTAAAGCTTGGTTTTGTGAATGCAGTCAGCGCTTCCTAAGTGAAGATGCAGTAGAAAAGCACGTCTTCTCAGCAAACACCATGTGTTACAAGTGTGCAGTCTGTGGAAAGGTGTGCGAAGATTCAGGAGTAATCCGTTTACACATGAGCCGGATTCACGGAGGGGCACATTTAAATAACTTTGTTTTTTGGTGTCGAACATGTAAAAAGGAGTTGTTAAGGAAAGAGACAATCATGGCACATGTGACTGAATTTCATAATGGGCATAGGTATTTTTATGAGATGGAAGAGACAGAAGATGAGCCTTTGCCATCATCCTCTTCAGTGAGTAATTTGACTGCTAACAAACCTACACCTATCACCGTTGCTGATCATTTCCCAGCAAACAGCCCTCCACGGGGCAAATGGCAGTGCCGAATTTGTGAAGAAATGTTTGACTCCCATGAATGTGTGAAACAGCACTGCATGGCTTTGTCAAGTCACCAGTTTCATAGGTACAGCTGTAGCCATTGCAGAAAGACTTTCCATAAAATTGAAACATTACACCGACATTGTCAGGATGAACATGACAATGAAGTAAAGATTCAGTACTTTTGTGGGCTTTGTGATCTTGTCTTTAATGTGGAAGAAGCATTTCAGAGTCATTACAAGGAGCATCACAGCATAGATTATATGTTTGTGGCAGAAAAAATGGAAAGATCAATTAAAACTGAGGATGATTTTCAAGTCATAGAGACCAGCAACCTGTTGAGCTGTGGTTGCCATGAGAGTTACATGTGCAAAAACAACAGAAAGGAGGATTACAGTAGATGTCTGCAAGCCATGCTAGCTAACGGGACATTGTGGTTTCGCTGCAGTTTGTGCTCAGCAACATCACAGAAGTTGGATGACATGAACACTCACCTCTATCAAGTGCACAGAGCAGAAGGGAAAGCTCCAGAGGAGCTGCAATATGTGGTCAAGTGTGGCACCTGCACCAAAGCATTTCAGGACCTTGGGAGGGCCCAGAAGCACTTCCACAGAAATCACAGCTCCTCAGAGAGGCTTAGCACAGTGCGTGTCAAAGCTGAGAAACGAAGCCCAGGCAAGAGGGCAGCTAGCCCCACCAGTGTAGAGAACAGACTCAAGCAAGCAGTGGGTAGTCCAGAATGTTCAGACATGGAGAAAGGAGCTGAGGATGACCTCAGTGGTCAGAAAATAGGTAAGGCTTTCACAACTGTGCGATTTTACATATTAATATGTGACCAGAAGCAGATATGTACAAAAAGAATATGTAATCAAATTAGGAAATACTCTGATTAAAAAAAGAAATCTGATGTAAGAGCAAACAAACTATCATGTGCAGATTTGGATTTCACGAAAAGATTTACATAGAGATGGATGTGGTACAGAGTAACAGCTTTGCATATTATAGGCCTCTACTATGTTTTAGCCTTAAGAAGTAAAGTGTATAAAACATCCTTACTAAATTTACATGATGTTTGTTGTTCTCAGAGGAAGAAATTGAACTGCCACATTTGGATTTCCTGATAATATCTTTTACATTTAAGCACTGACAGTGTTTATAGAGAATTCTTACTGAATTCATGTTATGTCTCTTGTTCTCAGAGGAAGAAGTTGAGCTGCCAGATTTGGATTACCTGCGAACCATGACTCATATAGTCTTTGTAGATTTTGATAACTGGTCCAACTTTTTTGGTCATCTGCCAGGGTATCTTAACCAAGGAACATTTATTTGGGGCTTTCAAGGTATGCTTAATAAGAACCATTTGAAACACCTTTCCTTAGGATATTTTGTGCATCTAAAGGTTTCTTTGAACATTCCTATATACAACATAAGAACATAATCTGAGCCAGGCATCTATATACTCCTAGCTACTCGGGATGCTGAGATTTGACAAAGCCAGCCCAGACAGACTAATCTGTGTAACTATCCAGTTAACCAGCAAAAATGCTAGAGTGAAGGCATGAGTGATAGAACACCAGCTGTGAGCCAAAAAGAAAAAATGAATTAAGCACAAACTTGAGGTCCTGAATTCAAGCCTCATTACTGTTACGGGGGAGGGGGGGTGGAAGGAGCATAATCTGGACGTTACTGTGCATTATAGTTACTCTGGTAAGAGTATTTTTCTTAGTTTATGAGTCTTCAAAAACATTTAAAAGATTTCTTCAATACCTTTTTTTTCGGGGGGGGTGTTGGTGGTGGGGCTTGAACTCTGGGCCTGGGTACTGTTCCTCAGCTCTTCAGCTCAAAGCTAGCACTCTATACCACTTGAGCCATAGCCCCACTTCCAGTGTTCTGGAGGCTAATTGGAGATAGAGTCTCACAAACTTTCCTGCCCAGGCTGGCTTTGAGCTGCAATTCTCAGATCTCAGCCTCCTGAGTAGGTGGGATTACAGGCGTGAGCCACTGGCGATTTCTTCAACACCTTCAATGTATCAGGCACTATTGCTTTGGTTCCAACCTGGTGAATGACTTACATTTTCCTCTTTTAAAAAAGAAGGGATGCTGGGTGCTCGTGGCTCATGCCTGTAATCCTAGCTACTCAAGGAGGCTGAGATCTGAGGATTGCAGTTCAGAGCCAGCCCAGGTAGTAAAGTCCGTGAGACTCTTAACTCCAATTAACCACCAAAAAATCGGAAGTGGCACTGTGACTCAAGTGATAGAGCACTAGCCTTGAGCACAGAGGCTCAAACAGCGCCCAGGCCAAGAGTTCGAGACCCACAAACTGGAAAAAAAAAAAAAAGGGAGCAGGCTGAAAAGTTTTTGTCTCCTCTTTTTTTCAATTATGGCACTAACCAAATTTAGCTCTTGAGGCTTGGTCTCTTAGCTGTAGGATTTGTGTTATTTTTATCAAGCCACAGCTGTTTTTTCAGGTCATGTTTGCTGTTCACATGTGTGCAGCTCCATCCATATCCCTCTATAAACTATTGACCAGACCTGGGATAGAAGTTCTGTGGCTTACAGAAGTTTGTATAGTGTCAGCTTTAGTTCATGTTTTAGAATTGAGAGTAAAGAAAGAAACACTACGTGGACAAATTAGCTAGTATGTTTTAATCAAGTCTAGCGTTGTTGATTGTCTTATCATTTCCACCCTTTGCCCAACCTTGTCATACATGTAAAAACCAGAATTTTCACATTGTTGCAGAATGGTACCATGAAAAGAATTTTTGAACTTATTATTTTCTCTCCTTGCCCCCACCCCCCTTTTTCCCTTCTCTACCGCTTGAGCCATGCTCCCTTCCCTCCCCTTATTTTGCTTTAGTTTATTGTTTAAGGAGAGTCCCATTTTTGCCCAGGGCCAACCTAGTATCATGATCATCTTACCTCTTCCTCCTGTGTGGCTGGGATTGCAGGCATGCTTCTGCATTTGTTACTTTTGACTCTGTTTTCTTGTCCTTGTGAGTTTTCACTGAGTGGACAGATTCAAGGAAGTTAATATGCTTTCCTAGGATTGTGAACTAGTATATCTTTTCTGAAATTAATAGGAGGAAACACCAATTGGAAACCTCCCCTCAGCTGTAAGGTATATAATTACTTGAACAGGATTGGTTGCTTCTTCCTTCATCCTCGGTGTAGTAACAGAAAAGATGCTGCTGATTTTGCTATATGTATGCATGTAAGTCACTTCTTTATTCAAAATATAACGTCATGTGAATCTCCTTCCCACCCCCATACTTGAACTTTAGCCACCGTATAGATAATTCTTCAGTATTAGATTGTGTATGACATTTTCTGCACATATTAGGTTCCACTAAGACTGAGGATGGCAGAGGCCCATCGTAGTCACTGCCTTGTCCCTACTGCCGATAGGCCCTCAGCTACCTAACAGACAAATTTCTCTTTTGTAATATTTATGGAGATTTATGGGATAAATAATGAAGAAATGATGTAGACTTGATATATTCTAAGGTGCTTTCACATTTTAACTTCTCAGATTGAGAGGCACCTTAACAATCACTGTGGGTTTACACAGAATTTGCAGTTATATCTGCCTCTGCTTGTCATCTAGAGAAAAGCCTGGCCTGGCACCCAGTTGATAAGAAATTTTCTGCTTAAAAGATTCTGTGGCACACTGATGATGGGACTGTACTCCCTCCATAAATGGGTCCACTGCTGCTGAGGCTACAGCAGATTGCAAGGTGCTGGTAGCTCACACTTATAATCCCAGTTCCTCTGCAGGCTGAGATCTGAGAATCTCCATTTAGCCAGCAAAAATTAAAAGTTGGAACTGGAGATATAGTTAGTACAGTACTGGCCTTGAGTGAACAAGCTATATGACAGCCTAAGGCCTTAAGTTCTAGCCCCAGTCCAGCACAAAAATGAAAGGAGAAACAACAACAAAACTATATAATATGCCCTTTTCCCTCTGTCTTGTGCCAAGGATGAATTACGTAAATTGCTTTGTGCGTGTTTTCTCTAGTGTATTGTATCTGGATAACCCTTCATCATGGCAGCTTTATAGAGGTCTCTTTTGGACTTAGGTTTTGCCTTTACCTTTTTCTTGTGTGGTGCATAAAATAGCTTGTAATTATTGGCATCTTAAATTTGATGGTGTAATTTATGAAGATGAGCGCAACTGAACAGACCTAATATACCTGCCTAGGTGTGTTGTGAAATAGAACTTGATTTGAAACTTGAGCTGACTTTTGTCAACCTGTGCTGTTTTCTTGTTACTTAGGCTGGCCGCCTTGATGAACAACTACCCAAGCAAATTCCTTTTACCATCCTCTCAGGAGATCAAGGTTTTCTGGAGTTAGAGAATCAATTTAAGAAGACTCAGAGGCCAGCTCATATCCTAAATCCTCACCACTTAGAAGGAGATATGATGTGTGCCTTGTTAAACAGCATATCTGATGCCACCAAAGGTAGGCAGCTGCAGTCACAGTTCAAACCGCCTAAGAAGAGGGGCTTCACTGTTGAGAGAAACCAATAAATGACTGCCCACTACGAACTGTTGTCTGATTACTAACCCAGCCCTTCATGTTCACACACATACATCTTCTTCATATTTTCTTCATTTCATTTTTGTTATTCAGTGTTTTCAGAAGGAAGATAATTCACAGTGATTTTCTAGAGCCCTTTTTTAAATCTAGTAGATGAAACACACACATATAAAATATTTATTGGGTTGAGATATGTTAAAGGTCAGAATTCAGATCTTCATTGATGAAATTTGAACTTTTGCCTTCATTTGTTTTTTTAGAAATCAAACTGAAAACCAGAAAAAAAGAAATAGTATGGCAGACAGTGAGAAAGTTCATTTCAGGGGCTGATGGTGAAATTGTCACCCTGGTACACCTCAGCAGTCCGTTGAGGTGATGTCCTTCCTCTAGTCTCCACTCCTGGAGAAGGGCGGCTTTTAACCAGTGTCACTCTCCATAAGGAGTAGAGTTTTATGACTTGAAAGTTTGGTTTTTGTTTTTCAATTCCTGACAGAACAAAAAAATGAAAATCCTGATAATTTCAATATATGAATAAGATTTGAAAATTTTCACGAGTAACCTCAATGAGAAACAGTGGCTACTTTTTCACATTTTTTATTGCACAACTTTACATTTTTCTAATTCTGCTTGGCTCAGTTATTTTTTCATTTCAATATATTTAGAACCATATTTGATTATAAATCCATTTTTGAAGAATTTTCTACTAGTTATTTCAAGTTGTGAATTTACTTTTGCACATTAGGAATCTGTAATCTATTTAGCACAATTCAACTCTTCTGAAGTATAATGAATCTGGGTGTGGTGGCTTATGCCTGTTATCCCAGCACTGGGAGGTTAAGGTAGAAGAATGATGAGTATGAGATTGGCTGGGGTTGTGGATGGATTCTAGGCTAGCTAGGGCTACACACACACACACAGGAAAACAAAGTAATGATGTAAGTAATGATGTATTTATCTTGTCTTAGTATTCACTTTTCATTCAAATCTGTGTTTGTTTTTATCGATTAAAACTTTCTGTATTTTACTTTTTTTAAAAAAATTATATGTAATTTATTTTTTGTTTATATGGTACCAAGGAATTGAACCCAGGACCTCATGCTTGCTAGTCAAGCACTCTACCACTAAGCCACATTCCCAGCCCCTAGTTTTGCTTCTTTGAAAAACAAGTTTTCTTCAACTCTTTCATCTTCTTTTGTTCTCAGCTTGACTTAATATTCTATAAAATACTTAAATTTCCACCTTTGCCAAACTCCCTTTCCTTCCCATGCTGCTGTTTGGGGAGCACTTTTCTGTAATAGAGATTGTGAAATCTGTAGGCTTTGCCTTTTTCCATTTTGTTTGGGATGAGTAGCTCTTCATGAAGAAAGTGGAATTGGAGGTATGACAAAGATTGCCCTCCTCTAGTTGTGCTCTTGGCAGTCAGTTCATTATCCACGGGCACTTACCACTTTTGGTGGCACCTGGTATACTTTCTCCTGAGTTTTTTTTTTTTTGAAATGCAAAGAAGGGCATGGGCTCTGATTGAATGCTAATTTATGATTTCAGATGTAAGTTTCTTCGTTTTTCTTCAGTTTCTTTGTGTGTGTGTGTGTGTGTCAAGTATAAGAATTAATGTATGTAGGGCTGGGAAGGTGGCTCAGTGGTACAGCGCTTGCCTTGCATGCATGAGGCCCTGGGTTTGATTCCTCAGCACCACATAAGCAGAAATAAAAAGCCAGAAGTGGTGCTGTGGCTCAAGTGGTAGAGTGCTAGCCCTGAGCTGAAGTGCTGAGGGACAGCGCCCAGGCCCAGAGTTCAGGCCCCACAACTGTACCCAAAAAGAAAGAAAAAAAAAAGAATTAATGTATGTAAACTTCTAACGGAATATAAAATTACCTTAGGTGCTCAGGAAATAGTAGCTCTTATTATTAGTACTACAACAAAAGGAAACTGATTCGATACCACACCCCCGTAATAAGTGGTTTGAGGGATGAGACATGCAGTGCTAGTAAGTTCACTAGGACCCGCCCCTCTGTCTCCTCCACTTCTCCCGTCTGCAGCATCCACAGACAGCTCAGAGGGCACAGGACTTACTGTACTCGCTTGGGAGCAGTGAAAAAGCACTCATGCTGAAATGATTTTTGTTGAATCTGAACATACTTCCTAGTCTGGTTTATGGGCTTACAGTTGCTGTGGCTTCACATATGTTGAATGAGGTGGCAGCATTATTAATAATAGCTGTTGTCTATACAATCATACAGATTTTTAAACTAATCTTTTTTGTTTGTTTTGTTTTTGCCAGTCCTGGGGCTTGAATTCAGGATCTGGGCACCGTCCCTGAGCTTCTTTTGCTCAAAGTTAGCACTCTTCCACTTGAGCCACAGCACCACTTTTGGCTTTTTCTGTTTATGTGGTGCTGAGGAATCGAACCCAGGTCTTCATGCATGCTAGGCAAGCACTCTACCACTAAGCCACATTCCAGCCCTTAAGCTAATCTTAAAATGTGAGTATGAAAGTTTCCTTCTACTGTGACAGTGTAGGTTATTGATACAGCAATAGGGCCTGTGGAGCGGGCATTATATAAAATATAGGACTTGTTCCCTCTGCCAGTTATTGAGACTGTAGGCTATTGCTGGAAGTCTACCTGGCCTAGTTAATTCTGTGTAAAGGTACTGAAAATAGAAGAATCTTTATGATTTTCTTTATTCTATAGGTGGGTTTGGTTGACACAAAAAAGACTTTTTTTTATAAGTTTTGCACCCCAGTGTCAAGCTAACCTTTGTGATTCCAGTGTACAGTTTTGCCATAGGCCTTCCATGAAGAGAGAAGTTGTTGGAGGAGTTATGATGTATTGCTTATTATTAACCTTGACTTCACATCCTGGAAGTTTACTTTGTTCTTAAGTTTTAGAGGCTCATTTCATTTCTCACAATAAAAAGTTTTACTTTTGTGAAGCATTGCTTAAAATATTTGAAGTAGTTTGCTAGTATGGCAGAATATTTACTTACCACAACATTTCTGCAACAAAGGAATACAGTAAAATATACATTTGTTTTCTATTTATGGATTTTATGTCTTTAATATACAGCAAATATTTTTTTCATGTTTTCACAGAACCTTTCATGTTTTCACAGAACCTAATCTACTCATGTCTTATGTCTCAATTATTTAAACTGATTTAGTCATTATGGTCTATGCATCTATACCTGCTTAAGTGTACATAAATTGATACTTATGGAAATCCATTTAAATTTTTAATAAAAAGTGGTTAGACAAATAAACACTAGGTCATAAATAGTGCCAGGCCCAGATGATACCTGGTAAGGAGTTTGTACCAGTAGTGCCAGTATAAAACCTGTGGTGGCCGGGCGCCGGTGGCTCACGCCTGTCATCCTAGCTACTCAGGAGGCTGAGATCTGAGGATTGAGGTTCAAAGCCAGCCCGGGAAGGAAAGTCCGTGAGACTCTTATCTCCAGTAAACCACTCCAAAACCAGAAGTGGCGCTGTGGCTCAAGCGGTAGAGCGCTTGCCTTGAGCTGAAGAGTACAGGGACAGCGCCCAAGCCCAGAGTTCAAGCCCAACAACCCACCCAAAAAAAAAAATCCTGTGATGTTATCTCCAGAAAGATGACTAGGTATGATTTTCAAAATACAGGAAACTTCAGTTTGTTAAAACATTGTTGGGTAAATGGTGTAATACTAGTGAATATAACTAGCAAACTTGGGTGTGAGAAAAGTCTGAAAACAATGTTTTAAGAGAGTATATAACTTACAGCACGGTAACTGAGAAATATATTTGCATTTATTCTTACAGAATGTGACAGTGAGGAGAACATGGACCCAGAAACTACTTCAGTGGAAAATGACTTCAGATCCACAGAAGGTAACCCAACAGAGTTCATCTTCTTGCTTATATTTTTAAAATTTGCCCCTCCCTCCTTTACCCTCTCTGTCTCCATCCTATTAAAAGCTCTTCCTTTAAATAAGGATAGCTTGCATTTTCTCAGCTGAGATGATTTAAGGCTAAACTTAATTGAGAAAACTAAGATTGGTTAGCTTGTGATAGATTCAATATAATACTGATTTTGTAAATAAAGGTTTAGGAACATAATGTTTCCTTAAAGGTGCAAATCTCTTTTCTTTAATAAGTTAAAGAACTCTTTGTGTTACTCAAAATGTAGTGTTTGATGGCCATGCCTTTGATTGTGCATGTAACTTTTTCTTTCTTTTTTTTTTTTTTTTTGGGTCCGGTCGTGGGGCCTGAACTCTGGGCCTGGGCGCTGTCCCTCAGCTCTTCAGCTCAAGGCTAGCGCTCTACCACTTGAGTCACAGCGCCACTTCCGGCTTTTTTCTTTTTGCTTATGTGGTGCTGAGGAATCGAACCCAGGGCCTCATGCATGCAAGGCAAGCACTCTACCACTGAGCCACCTTCCCAGCCCCTATGTAACCACTTTTTAAATGTTTTTTTATTATAAAAATAGTGTACAGAGGGGTTACAATTACATGAGTAAGGTAATTGAGTACATTTCCTATTGAGCATTGTTACCTCCTCCTTTGTTTTTCCCTTACCATTTCTTCCTTCCCCAACTCCCTCCTCCCCTACCAATTTTTATTTAATATTTTGCATAAAACTGTAGGAGTCCTTTTGTGTGTATGCTGGTCCTAGGGCTTGAACTCAGGGCCTGGGTACAGTTCCTGAGCTTCTTTTACTCAAGGCCTGAGCTCTACCACATGAACCAGAGCTCTTTTTGAGTAGTTTATTAAAGAATCTCACAGACTTTCCTGCCTGGGCTGTCTTTGAACTGCAGTCCTCAGATCTCAGCTTCCTTAGTAGCTAGGATTACAACAAATGTGAGCAACTGATGCCTGGCAAGTAGTTTATAATAACCAGAGAAGATGAGTTAATATATTTTAGAACATGCCTCTAAGGTATTTTGCACTGAAGGTATTTTGTGTCTCTGACATTGAAGGAAAATAGTATATATGTATATTTCATTGAGAATTGGATTTATGCTTAGGAATATGGAGGCTGGAAAGTAGAAAAAGAAATGTGGCTGGACATAACAGAATGGGCCCAGTTGATGTGTTTTCTTTCTATGCATTCAATCTCTCATATGATGCAGGAAGTTTGACTTAGTGCAAAGTAGAGTTTGTGCTATTAGGAATGTAAGAATTTGAGTCTGGTAGTGGAATTGAACCATCCCTTTGACTTAATCCATTAATTTTAGCAATTTGAGACAATTAGAAATTTGAAAGAGTTTCACTATCAGGTTGGCCTGGAACTCGCCCTGTGGCGAGTTGAATTTGCTAATCCCCCATGTTCACCTCCTGTGCAGTGAGGTACCGGTGTGTGCCACCACTCCCACAGGAGTATAGTCGGTATTGTGTATTGAACAGAAGCGACCTCATGTTCAGAGGAGCACAGACACCGACTGCCTGAGTTAAAACTTGCTTCTGCTTAGAATTGTGTTGTATTGAACTGTTATCTAACTTAGTGTTTTATTTGTATTCTGTTTGGTTTAATTTGTTGAAAACTAGATAATGGGCAATTATAATGTGGTACCTTTGGAAATCAAGATTCTCCCTTCCCCCAGGATTTACTGTTCTTGATGATTGGATGCTGCAGTTTTGCATTTATTTACTCTTCTAGACTAGTTTTGCAAAAAATCATATGTCTTGTGATATTGAAGTTCCTGACTTTGTGCCTACTTAGTGTACTGACAGCCAGGAGCTAAAAACAAAGAACTACCTCCCTTAGACTTTGCTGATTGGCTTTGTGCTACTGCCCTCCTTCCAAACCAGGCTTGTATTAAACCTACAGGTCAGTCAGTGGTGAAATGCAGACCTTCCAGGTGCTTTCTGTGCTCTCACATCCTATTTGGAGCACATGCCCAGCTTTCTGAATTGCTCCACTACCCACAAACACTTTTCTTTATTTTTTTGGTTATTGTTGTTGGTTGCAGTGCTTGCACTCAGGGCCTGGGCACTGTCCCTGAGCCTCTCCATGCTCAAAGCTAGTGCGCTACTACTTCAGCAACAGCACCACTTCTGGTATTTCAGTAGTTAATTGGAGATAAGAATCTCATGGGGGGGGCTGGGAAGGTGGCTCAGTGGTAGAGTGCTTGCCTTGCATGCGTTAGATCCTGGGTTCGATTCCTCAGCACCACATAAGCAAAAAGAAAAAAAAAAGAATCTCTCAAACTGCAGTCCTCCGATCTCAGCCTCCTGAATAGCTAAGATTACAGGCTGGAGTTCCTAGTGCCTGGCCCTCAAACACTTTTGAATGCCCTAATTTTCCAGATAAATTATCTTTCTGTGTTTTCCTACCAGGCTTTGGGTGATTTATCCTATGACTAACTCTATTCTCTCCTCTCTGTTTACTGTGAGCTTTGTGTCTACCCTGCAATTTTTTTCCAGCAATGCATACTACTTTTTTGCCCTGAGTGGGTTCTGAGTCATTGAAATAAATGAATGCTGTGTGTTGGTCTTGCAGATAGAATAGCCTCCAGACATTAAAACAGGCAGAAGCAAAATTTGTGGGCTAGGTCTGCTTTGCTCTTTCTGAGACTAAGATTGACAGCATATGCTGCTGTCTTTAGGACTACTATGGAATTGGAGGGAGATGGAGAGAGGATGTGTGAAAATACCCAAATACCCAACACTTTCAGCTGCTCTTTCCTCCCCTCTCCATTCCCAGCCAAGCAATTGCTAAAATGTCTCACTTTTTCCAGATTTCCCACTCTTGGTTTGCATGATCTCAGCCTCCTAGATTACAAGCATGAGCCATGGACCCTCAGCCACAATTTTCTTTTTTTGGGAGGGGTCTGGTTGTGGGGCCTGAACTCTGGGCCTGGGCGCTGTCCCTCAGCTCTTCAGCTCAAGGTTAGCGCTCTACCACTTGAGCCACAGCGCCACTTCCAGCTTTTTTCTTTTTTCTTATGTGGTGCTGAGGAATTGAACCCAGGGCCTTGAGCATGCAAGGCAAGCGCTCTACCACTGAGCCACCTTCCCAGTCCAGCCACAATTTTTTTTTAACTGCTTTTCCTACTATGTTGCAGTGCTGCTGTTGTTATAAATCAAGTCAAGTGCCTTTTTTTTTTTTGAGCTGGTACTGGGACTGGAACCTGGTCTCGATGCTCTCACCTGCCCTCCCCCTCCCCCCTTTCCACAGCTAGTGCTTTGACACTGAACCATAACTTCAGCCCCAAGTAAGTGTCCTCACATGCATGGCTCTGTTTGTAAGATGTCTGCCCTGTTGTGTAGTCTGTTTTTGCACTGATACCACATTCTTGATTACTGTACTTTTTATAGTAAGTGTTTGGATTTATACTCATTTTGTCACCATGTTTAATAGGACCTTAGCTTTTTAAATCTTGTTTTATTCCTTTGAACTTACCTTAGGGTATCTCACTAACTCTAGAATGTATCTTTAGTACAGTTTTTTAAGTTCAGTTTCTAGTATTTTAAATTTTATTCATTAATAAGTGTCCTAATCCAGTGTAATGCAATTGAATCCTAGAGGAATTACAGGTACCTCTAAACCACATAGGCTCCTAGAGGCTGTGGGCTAGGTTAGAAAAGATGAAACTTGCATAAGAATCTAGTGAAGGCCCTGGAATTCTACCCTCCTGGGATTTAGGTTCATTGCCAGGAAGGAGATGGAGAAAAGTCTGTGAACCCAGTGATGTCTGTCTAGTTTGTCATTTAATCTATTTATCTTATTTAATAAATATTTATTAAAGGAGTTTGCATTGTGTGTGTATGTATATATATAATATGCTTTGCAGATGAGATTATGTAGCCATGACTTTCACTCTGTCTTAAGTGCTAGAAAACTTAAAGCTCATTTCCCCATAGTTTTATTGAGTTGTAATTGACAAGTCAAAGGTAAATTTTCATAGCCTGAGTGATTATGCCATTTATTAGTTTCACCCTTCTCTTATTTCATCTTGTATATATATATATCAGCCTCAAGTCTTGTAGGCAACAAGTAATACAGATTTTTGTTGTTGTGTGTTGAAACAAGTGATAGATAATATGTCAGTAATTATGAAAGTCTGTTGACTTTCTGCATCTGTAGGTAGATGTAATTTGCATAGCATATTAAATTCACATACTTAAAAGTTCAATTGTAGATTATGTCTAGATTCTCATTTCAGAATTTGAGGATTTCACTCACATTTTATTTTATTGTGGAGAAACAAATTTTATTATGTAGAAACTCCACTAGATACTCAGTTATTTTATTTCTTGAAAATATTAATATAATTGATAAAACAAAGCACATGTAGTTTTCTTCCTTGTTTTTTAAAAATTCTTTATTTTTTTTCATGTAGATCTGGAATTAGAAGAAGCTATTAGAAGAAGTCTTGAGGAAGTGTAACGAAAGATATTACCACACAACATCAATTGGCCTTGAGGACCAGAAGCCTTCTAGTACAGATATATCTGAAGATGCTTTTGCTTTCATATGTTCACAATCTCACATCTGTTTTGTTTTCTTGGGTATTATACAAAATATGTATGAGAGGAATAGAATACATGCTAAGGCAAATATGGATTATGATTGTCATAGTTTCTCATCTAACCTAAAATATGTGTATAGTTAGGTTGAAAGCATTCTTAAAAAGTGGGGGAGGAAAAGCTCTTGGCTGCTGTTTATGTTTCCACGTGTTACTTCTTTGGTTTCATTTGTACTGGGCAAATGATGCTAGATTATTTTTTTAGGAGTGAAAATATAAATAAATGTGCCATAACTGTTTTTCCACAAATTCTGTACCTCATGTGGCACTGTTTGTGATTGTTTTGATTGGTTTGTTTTATGAAAAATCCATAACAAAAAACTTGGTATTGACTGGATGGGCTTTGTTGTTTTTGAGCCAAGTGTTGAAGGTTTCAAGGAATAGAGTTAAGGAGGAGGAACTTGGACATTGACAACAGCAGGTAGGCAGAGAACTGACTGGCCAGCATTATCAAACTGCATGGCAGCGCCTGTGTGTGACAGCTGAGTACTCCCTTGTATAGCCATAGTCAACTCTTGTTGGAGGTGATGGAGGTCTGGCTTTATATCAGAGATCAAGCTCTGCTCCTGCTCCGGGAGGAGGGGGTGGGACTTCCACAAGCTCTGCCATGGTCGTTTTCAACGTAGGCAGGTGTTACAAATGGTGTGTCTTTATTAGAACTCAATCGTGGGACCCTGCTAAAACTTTCACTACTGACATACTCTGTGAGAATCATGTAAATATATATTCTTTCTTTAACTGGAGCAGCACATTGCTAATTTAAAAAAACAAAACACTTTTTTCTTCAAAGTATTAACATGAAACTTTCTATTTCCTTTACTTGCTTAGATTTTTGTGACTTGATTGTCAAAAATGATGTCAGAATATATTAATAGAATTAAACTTATTTTTAAATAATACTAGTCTTTATATTTTTGTGCACATATGATTTTCTTCAAAAAAACATGTTGAAAGTCTCCTCATATTCTTAGTGCTTTAAAACTTGTATTTCATGTGGATTATCTCTATTCATTGAATTGTCCGTTTTCTGAACCTGGTATTGCCTATTCTTCAGTTGAAACTTCCTTGTGAATTTAAAACTATTTCTCTAAATACAACTATTTCTCTAAATATATTTGACATATAAGGCTCTTTAAATTTCATCATGTTAAAAAATTTTTTTGTCTTCAATACATAATATTTTAATATGAAATGTGATTACTAGTTTATCAGTACAGTCTTTTTACCACAAGTAGCCAAGTTATATTTATTTCTTAAGATGTCATTTCTGTTCTTTTCTACATGTTTTTATCTTTTTTTTTAAAGACAGGGTCTTGCTACATTGCTCAGGGTATATGAACTCACCGTGTAGTCCAGGCTGGCCTTTAATTTGAGATCTTCCTGCTTCTGCCTCTTGAATACTGGGATTGAAGGTGTGTACCATGCCCTGTGTATACTTTTAATTTTTGTGGTCAAGCCAGGCTCTTAAAAGGGAACCATAGAGGGCTGGGAAGGTGGCTTAGTGGCAGAGCGCTTGCCTTGCATGCCTGAAGCCCTGGGTTCGATTCCCCAGCACCACATAAGAAAAAAGAAAAAAAGCCGGAAGTGGCGCTGTGGCTCAAGTGGTAGAGCGCTAACCTTGAGCTGAAGAGCTGAGGGACAGCGGCCATGCCCAGAGTTCAGGCCCCACGACCGGACCCCAAAAAAAAAACAAATAAAAAAGGGAACCATAGGAAACTTTAAGCACTCATGCAGGAGCTGCTAAATAGTAAAGAGCACAGAGCTTTCCATGTAGGAGAGTAGGTAAGCATCTATGGGCATGTGGAGGGAGGGCTAAAGACCCCCACAGGCAGTGGACTAGAACTCTCATCCATGTAGGAGAGTGGCTCCACATTTGTGGTCAAGAGGAAGGCGGGCCTATGATGGATCCTGATGATCCATGAAGAAGCTTTTGATACAACAGGAAAAAGGTGTTCCATCATGACCCTGAAAAAAGGTAGGTTGTTTAATAATTGTCCCTGACTTTGTTTCTGCTCATTAAGTAATTTAAAATAATTTAAAATTATTTTGTAATTTGAACTGAATTTAGATACAAGTAGATGTAATTAGTGGATGACATGAGGAGAGTTAAATGAATTGTTGTCAAAAGCAAATGTTTTGTTTTTTTTTTTTTTTTGGTCCGGTCGTGGGGCCTGAACTCTGGGCCTGGGCGCTGTCCCTCAGCTCTTCAGCTCAAGGCTAGCGCTCTACCACTTGAGCCACAGCGCCACTTCCGGCTTTTTTCCTTTTGCTTATGTGGTGCTGAGGAATCGAGCCCAGGGCCGAGCATGCAAGGCAAGTGCTCTACCACTGAGCCACCTTCCCAGCCCTCAAAAGCAAATGTTTTGAATATTGATAAAGTTGCTGGGTAGTTTTCATTATATCACACACAAAGTAGTTGTGCACCTGTCATGAGCAGAGACTATTCCAAGCATGTAAGTACACCAGTGAGGGAAACGGCTCTTCACCTCTGGGTACTTAACTAGGGGAGAAGGTTAGACAGTTTAGACACTAAGCAAACATAGAAACTATCCTATTATATGGTGATGTCTTGTGAGCACAAGTTAAAAAGAGGACAAAACAGAGCAATAGTACAAGATTGGGGAGAGATTTGGTTTTCTTAGGATGTTTGGTTTGGTTTTACGTTTTTGAGACAGGGTTTGACTATGTAGCCCAGGCTGGCCTCAGACTCATGATCCTGATTCAGCCTCCTGATGATAATGCCTCTGGTATTACAGGTATATAAACTATATTATACCACACCTGGCTAAAGTGTGTGCAATTTTAAACATGGTGGTCAGGAAAGATCTCATTGAACTTGGAGCAAAGATCTAAGGTGAGTGAATGAACAGTGTGAATATATGGAGGTGGACCCTCATTTATGATGACTTAGGAATTTTAGGTGTTAGGATGGAGCAAACGTGATACATGGTTCTATGAGTTTTATCTTTTCCCAGGTTACTAAGATACATCTTCCCATTTGTGCGTGCTGGACTGTGAACCGTGTTATTAATCACAAGAGTGCTGCTCAGCACCGGGACTTGTAGGTTCGGTGGGTTGGTTTTGTGGTATTTTCGACCGATGAATTCATAATGAGTAAGAGGTGAAGCAAGAAGGCTAGTACAGCTAAGTGAGGGGTAAAGGAGAGTGTGGTAGGTGAAGCCCTTCTGGCTTCACACCATGTGGGGTTTATTCTGAAAAGGCATTTCAGTTTTCTGGAAATAAGTGATAGTATTGACTATTCCACATAAGCAAGAATAGAATTGGGGGACCATTTGGAGGGTATTGCATCCATCTGGGTACAGATTGTCCTGTTGGCTTGTATCAAGAATGGAAACAGTGGAAGAGGAGAGATCAAGATAGGTTCCAGTGATAGAGACTAGACGGATTCTAATGGTCGAGAATCTGGGGAGGTCCTAATGGCAGAGATGCATGCGTTTCTGATGGTGGCGGATCTGGTGGGATCTGATGGTGGAGGATGTAGATGGGTTCTGATGGAGAATCTAGTGGGATCTGGTGGTGGAGGATCTGGTGGGATCTAGTTGTGGAAATTGGTGGAGTGTGCAGATGAGCTGGATTGAGAAGAGAATCCGGGATGAGGGACCCCTGCCTGTGCTTGGATTTCAGGCTGAGCAGTACACTGAGGCCAGTGCCAATCGGCCTCCTGTTCACAGCCCTCCTCTTGGGTCCGGCTGGGAGGTCTTCCGCAGGAAGGAAGGGAAGGCCTGAGAACCAGAGAGCCAGAGCCCAGACATACGGTTTTCCAACTGGCTCCTGGTTCACCAGCGGGCCCCCTCCCTCCGGCCCTGCCCGCCTGCCTGGGGTTCGGCACTCTCTTCTCCTCTTCCTCCTCCCTTCCTCCTCC